AGAGAAGAAGAAGAAGAAGAAGAAGAAGAAGAAGAAGAAAGAAGAAGAAGAAGAAGAAGAAGAGATGACGAGCGGGGAAGTTTTTTTTTTTTTTTTCTTACCCGTCGTTTATCTCACGACCTATCGCTGACGAATGAAACAACAAAAAAAAAGAAAAAGAAGATAGTGGGAAGAGGAGGAGGAGAGAAGAAGAAGAAGAAGAAGAAGAAGAAGAAGAAGAAGAAGAAGAAGAAGAACATGGTGAGAGGGGGACGACCGATGGGCGACTCCACGACGCTGGCGACGGGCGACGGGCGACTCCACGACGCTGGCAACGGGCGACGGGCGACTCCACGACGACGGGGGAGTGTTGCTCCCAGGCGATGGCGACAACGGACAGCAGGAGGAGCGAGGGCGGCTGAACCTCGAACGCAGGCGGCTGGGGAAAACCAAGGCCCCGTTTGGACAGCCGATGCAGGCCGCCCCAGCCAGTCGGTTGTTCAAACGGGGCCTCGTTTTTCCCTCCAAAAATCAAACGGCCCTCCGGCCGTCGATCATGGATGATCGATGGCCGGAGGGCCGTCACAAATTCAAAAAAACAAACTGGCGTCACGGGCCCGACGCGCCGTTTTTTGGGCCTGGTCGGACCCCGTAGGCCCTGAGGATGCCACAACTCGGCTATTCGGGGTTGGACCCCCCCCCCCAACAAGGTGTGCTGGGGGTGCCCGGCCCCCAACCGGGCCGCCCGCCCGGCCAGGCCGCCCGGGACCTCCCCCGGGCAGACGCTGGTCGGCCAGGCGGCCCGGATCCGTACTCAGGTTTAAATAACATCATTTTTGACAAAATTTCTGATTCAGGTCACCTAGGTCGACATCGGAGTTATGTCCTCAGTGTCTAATAATTCAAGAAAATTTACATGAAGTTATATATCTGGGGAAAACAAAAATAATCCAACTGAGTGTGCAACAATCTTCATTCCATGTACATTGCAGACTTGGAAAATACTACAACCCAAATTGCTGTTCCTGAAAAAAGAAAAAAAAAGAAAGAAAGAAAGAAAAAAAAACATACACCCATACAACGAGGATGCACAAGGTCACTTTCGCAAGGAGGTGGGTGCAGTATACAATTGAGACTATATAACAAGTTACGATGCCCAGTTCTGTCTGCAAAACAAAAGGAAAAACACACAAACTGACATGAAATCGACGACTGACGAAGAGAAGCACAGGGACTGGATGAGGAAGAAGAGCGCAAGCCGTTACCTGGCTGGCCATCACGAGGAGACACAAACATTCCAATGAAGATTAATACCACGGAAAGAAGAACTGGAATCAGGAACAGCGGTCCAACACTGGCCAAAATCTTCACTCCACCGAAAACTATAAGGCAAAGCAGGATGGTGATGATAATCCCATAAACCTGCAGATCATGGAGGTTTGGCGATTTCACGTGCGACGTGATGTTGTGGACCGCATCCGGCATTGTCAGATTGGTGTCAACCTGCGTCGTGGTTGCTGCCCCAGACAAAACATTCCAAGCACGAGACCAAGCCAGAGGCCGGAGCAGTTGAGCAAGCGAGAGAGTGAAGCAGGGAGATGCAGTAAGACAACAAAGGAAAAAGAAGACAAGGAATGGACAGCGTTGAGGGCGGAGGGAAAGATCAAACAAGGACCAGAGTTAGGGAAAGGGATGAGCAAGCGAAAACAAATGCAAGTCAAGAGGACAGCAAATCAAACCGAGGGGATAGAGAAACATAACCAGGTAAGCACAGATATGGTGGAGTGAGGGAAAAGGGGGGAGGACACACAGGCCGAGAGGTGGAGGGCAAGATTAAGAGTGACAGATGAACAGTGTGAGGGATGGTGGGACGGACAGTGAGATGGACGGTTAGAAGGACAATGAGACGGTGGCGAAGACGCCAGGGGAGAGGGAGGGGCAGAGGAAGAGCAACAGGGAGGCGCAAGAAGGGAGAAATGAGATGACAAGGAGAGGAAGTGTGAAGAGGGTGAAGGCAAGCCATCAAGGAGTGGCACAGTGGGCAGGAGTTAGCACACAACTTAGCAGCAAGGAATTGAAAGAGTGAAAGATAAAAAGAGGTCCCAGGGAAAGATGGAATGAACACACACACACACACACACACACACACACACACACACACACACACACACACACACACACACACACACAACACAGCATAGCACACATGGCATGGGCTCCTCCGAAGGCCATGATGATATGCAAAGAGAGGGGTGAAGGGGAGGACAAGAGGGTTAGAGGGAGGTGCAGAGAGGGAGAGAGAGAGGGAGAGAGAGAGGGAGAGAGAGAGGGAGAGAGAGAGTGAGAGAGAGAGAGATCTACCATGTGGGAACGTATGGATGTGCACAGGAAACAGTTGTTCACAAATACCCAGCATCAATAACATCACCGCTTCAGCTGTACTTTCAACAATTGTATTGCAATCGCATACAGAAAACTTATCTCATGGAGGATGTTTCACCTGCCATCCATGCAAACATCGAACAATACATCACTCAAAACACTATACTTTCCTTACATTTTTTGCAACCCACTCCCAGCCAGTGCAACTCCCCTATGACACTTTCACCATTCGTCCCTAGGCTTGCTTACTTGTGCCCAGAGCGATCTGACATGTTAAAAATGGGTCATGTTCATGCAGAGGCTCCTAACTTGCAGGGAACTCACAAATGCCCTGCCGGCCCGGCTGCAGGAATTCCAGAAGACTGCTGACTTAATCACAGGAAGGTCACCCCCTATTGCAGCCTGACATCGTTTCCCCCACCCCTCGTCCCTCCGCCCCCACCCCCGCCCACACAGCACCAAAAACAGAAAAAACAGGCAGGTGCCCAGCTGATCAACTTGTGATCATGATGGTCACCTGTGCTATGCCAGACAGTGGTTGATTAAAATTGAACTGCACGATCAGATCTTTTTGGAAATTTCCGTTAATTGAACTTGATTCTGGTTCTCCGAGTAGCACTCCAATCAAAATATTTGAATACATGGACCCTGTCAAACGCCAGTACACGGTCCCGGCCTTGCAAGGTTTCTTCTTCATCACCTACGAAAATTCCCGAGGCTCGGGGATAGCGGACCACAATGGCTAGCTGTGTCAGCCAAAAAAGAAGGAAGGTGAGCCGCTGGCTGTTTTGCGCGCATAAATTGCCGCCAGGCCCACGCATACTGATGGTTTAAGACTTCGTCACTCAGGGAAACCTTGCAAAGAATCAGTGACGCAAATGAAACGCTAGCTCTACCAATAGAAATGGAGTATACTTCCTACCCAGCCCAGGTGGTTGAATGGCATACAAAGGGAACTCTTACCAAGCAGAGCTCATGAGCTCGAATCCTTATGGAATCAGATAAATACATGGTTACGATCCAGACGTCCAGACCCCAGTCCGGACCGTCCATGTCTGGATGTCCGGGGGGCCGTCCGGATTTTTTTTATTTTTTTTTGGTTGTTCAAGGCCCACCCCCAAAGAAGTAGTTTGGGGACTTTTTAACTATTTTCTGGCCCTTTCAGAAAGCCAAAGACGGCCAGACTGTGACTCATTCTGATTGAGAGAGAGAGAGAGAGAGAGAGAGAGAGAGAGAGAGAGAGAGAGAGAGAGAGAGAGAGAGAGAGAGAG